ACCTACAGTACAAACTATTTTCAATGACTGACTCTGGAAAGCTGGTACACTAACCTAGAACAAACGCCTCCTAACAAATGTCGACAACTACCGGCGCCTTACAAACGACTGATCCATGACGGAAACGAAACCGACAAACGGACTTCTAACAGACCGACTTAACAATACGCGGACCAAAAACCGACCTATTTGACTAACAATAGACGTATCGAAACCCACCAATGACTGATGACAAACTTTACACGAGTCTTTCAGCCAATACCATCATGGCTACACTGACCAATCACGTTCAACGTACCAGACTTATAACATCATCGACTGAAAAACACCATTCACTTGACTCTGAAGATGACTTCCGCTCAGGTTGTGGAAACGTCAGTCACCAACATCAGTTCTTTTCAGAACTACCCTCACCAGGACGATCACACTATACGAACTGTCCTCTTATTGATGATAAATTTCGTCATAACATTGTCAAAGTTTACTGCGGAAACAGTCGCCTACGGCTCGTGGTTCCACTGCCACTTTGACAATGTTATGACCCAATTTATCATCAATAAAAGGACAGACGCATAAAAAACTGACTGTTATTGGAGGCTCCGAGCGATTTTCTGTAATTTTCGGCTCCAGACCTCGCACTAGCAGACCGCGCGGGTATTAAAAATTCAAAATGTCCGCCACAAAAACACACACCCGTCTAAACAGATGTGAGGACTCCCTGTGCGACAACGAGAGGTTGTGTGTGAGTGTCAGCGGATTTTCAAAACAGTATTCTCTTGTGGACCTCTCGTGACGCCCTCTCTGAGGATACCCACTAGTTGACTGGTATACAGCCGTTTTCTCTTACCTGTCGGCGCAAAAGGTTGTTCTTCTGTAAACAGCACAATGGAAATTAGTGAACTTAAGGTAAGATAAGTGAATAAGACTGGTGAAGTTGAAGTAAGATAGCTACACTATGAGATATGGTGTTCATATGGGCTTCTAGATCTCTTGCAAACAATTTTCGTTTGTCACATGTAAAGATATGATCAACCGTTCCCAAATGGCAAAAGTTGTATATAAGAGGGTGTCAATGGGGTATAGCCCTAGACAGTAAACAGCTAAGAATAAGCCATTTAGTCAGTAAACTTTTCGAAATAATGTTAATTAGTGAGAAGACATACACAACTTACATTCATAATCAAGCTTACATAATTTCTTACATACTTTATTTGTCATGTAGGTCATTAAAAGGCAGATTAGTGTGGCAGTTAATTTGTATGATTTTATGATTTTTATAAGCTTTGGATGACCTCCATTTCCAAAATAAGTAGCCTGCAGAACAGGCGGATTAGCGGGGTAGAAAGCAAAATGCGATACACGAGCGCACACAAAGCGCGACCACGAGTGCTAAGTGCAAGACGACAAAAATCTGCCTGTAGTCACACCATTGTTTATGCTCTTCCAATCGTTCGCCTGGCAAACAGTTTTTGCTGATTGGTTGCTTTAAGCCACATGACGTCATACGCGAGAAAAAACAAAGTGTGTTAAATGGGGTGACAGGCCTACTTGGACTCCTACGGCTTGTGACATTTCTACATTTGCCATGCTCTTATAAATTGCATCCTTTTGACCTCTTATTTTGCTCCTCGCTTGTTTCAAAAGGGAACTTAATGTTGTTGTGTTATCAGGAGGATTTTTTTTTAAAGTAGAGTAGAGCCAATGGACTGTTAGAGGTCAAAACTCTGCATGGTTTCAGTTGTTATCTATTTAACAAATAGATTCCATGCTGTCGTGCGTCTGTTCATTAATAGATCACAGATGACGTCAAAATGTGGTAAGAACATCAGAGGCACAAGAGGTGATAGCTGAGTGAGTCACTAATGTTCTTACCACATTTTGACGTCTTCTATGATCTATTACTGAACAGACGCACAGCAACATGGAATCTATTTGTTTTATATAAAGAAACAGCAGCAAAAGCTTTTTTACTGCCCCCGCAGGGTTTTGGCCCAGAGGCCAAAACCCAAGGAGGCACCCAAGGATTCCCCGCGTGTATACATACAAGGAATTTCAAAAAAGTAAGAAATGTGTTTGTACCATGCGAAGCGTTCCAGATTTGATTAAACTAGGTGTGCACGGTGGTCTTGGGTAATATTTTAGCAAGTGCGCAAGGTGTCATTTACGTGTAATTCTTGCAACCGTGAGGTCGGATTTCGCCATCTTCTAGCAACATTTCAAGGTTCTTGCAACCACAAGTTCGTATTTTCCCATCTTCTCTAGCAACATTTCAAGGTACTTGCAACCATGAGTTCGCGTTTCACCATCCTCGAGCAGCATTTCAAAGGTCTTCCAACCATGAATTCATGTTTCGCCATCTTCGAGCAGCATTTTATCCCATTGACACCTGCATGAAATTGCCCATGACCCACCCCTAATTCCCTGGTGTTTTTTAGAATATTTCAGAGTGAGCGAAAGTTGAAAAATAAACCATGTGCAGTAACCACTGACACAAGATCAGGTTTCAAGACATCGTTTACTCAAAGTTGAATAAATGAAGGGACAAAATATTAAAAAACATCAACAAAAAGAACACAACCTTATGTGGTAAACTGATAAGAAAACAAGAAATTATATTATTTGAAGGGGTGAGTGCAAAACCATGCTAAGTGACAATTTGGGTGAAAAAAAAAATTTCAGGAAAGGGCCTGAATTTTTGCATGTGGTCTTCAATGTAACAGAAAAACATGGTCCTGTATTTTTGTCGCTGGTTTCTGCTTTGTTTTCGAGTTAAAATGTGTGCAAAAGAACTTGGTTTTTCCTAGCCATGTCTTTAGGAGTTTATTTGTTGAACAGGAAACGGGCAGACTTGGTAAATTTACTGCAAATTTTCTTTTAAACACTGTCCTGGATTTTTTTCACTCCTTGGCACATTGTTGGAAGAAAATCTGTCTGGGTCAAGAGAGCTTTCTCTGAAGCAACAAAGGCAGACTGTTTATAGTGTATGAAGTCAAAATCAAATCCCACAGCATATAGAGTGGAAATCTGGGAACAGATTGTTTACATCGGTTATTGTGACGTGAAACACAACACATGAATCGATCATGCGTCAAAGGAAATACCATCAAAGAAAAAAAGAGATGTGATGCATTAGAGCTCTGTCAACTAATATTTTAAGCATTGTTTTAAAGTACCTTGTATAGCTGCCTGGTAGTCGACAGGCATCATAAAGCCTTGATAAACCCGTAATCAACACGTTTTAAAGAAGCAAAATGTGTTCTGAAACTTCAAACGCAACTGATATAATGGAGTTATCGGTGTTTGAAGTCAGATCGATCCATGCAGCAAAGTCCAAGAGCAGTTCTTGCCCAAGAAAACAAACCTCTCATGAACTGTGGCCCATTTGCCAAACGTTGCTAGTTTCAAAGTTTAGAAAGCAAGAACTGGGTTTAGGCTTATAAAAATTGTCTTGTATCGACCGCTATGTTTTCCCGCACACGACGTGTAAAGACCCTTCCTGGCATGCATTGGGATCACGTTCTGTAGACATTTCTTGAACTGATAACTAGACTGTTTTTCCTTTTTCATTTAAACATAATAATGGCCAACAAGTAGCGATCGATTGTTACATAGATCTGTGATTCAGGTTGCATTGATTTTGTTTCAAATTGGCATGATTTGTAGTGTTTTGAGCTTCTGGGATCAGCAGACGTGCAGATGTATGGAGACCTGTACGTTGCGCAGAAGGTTTAATCTGTTAATCTGTCAGCCCTATTTATAGAGTGTTTTCACGTGAAGTCATCAAATTCTTAAATCCAAAACTAAGGACCTGCCAAAGTTGTTACCCTTATCAGGCATAAGAGGTACCAGCGCATTTTGAATTTCGAAGTTAAGGTGGTGCGTGACATAAAGCTATGATCGCATTTGTCAAAAACTATTTTTACAATAACTGTCTAATTTCTCATGCACTGATTGGCTCATTTTTATCATCAATAAGAGTACAGACGGACAAAATTTTAATTTATGCAAGCTTTCAAGTTAAACTTTCAGCTGTCAAACTGTCAACTTTTTAACCTGGCATTTGACCGTTTTGGGGTCTTCTTATTGTAAAAAACAAAGTGACGTCAGTTTTTTTATGCATCTGTCCTCTTATTGATGATAAATTTCATCATAACATTGTTAAAGTTTACTGCAGAACCACTTGCCTGCAGCTCATGGTTCCACAGCCACTTTGACAATGTCATGATGCAATTTATCATCAATATGCCTTGTTTGGAAAAGTGCTTATTGAAATGGTTATTTGTTTTATTTAAACCTCTTTTGACCTGAAATCAACATTTTTGAGCTTATATGTTGCGTGAGATTACCAATTTGCTGTTTTCTAAGTGAAATCAACATCCTTGCTGTAACCCATTGATGTGAAATCAACATTTTAACCTATTTAGACCTGAAATCAACATCATTGAGCTTATGCGCTGCGTGAAATTGACATTTTGCTGTTTTCTAAGTGAAATCAACATCCTTGCTGTAACCCATTAATGTGAAATCAACATTTTAACCTATTTAGACCTGAAATCAACATCATTGAGCTTATGCGCTGCGTGAAATTGACATTTTTCTGGTTTCTAAGTGAAATCAACATCCTTGCTGTCACGTGGTAACATGAAATCAACATTTTAACCTAGTTAGACTTGAAATCAACATCGTTGAGCTTATGTACTGCGTGAAATTGACATTTTTCTGGTTTCTAAGTGAAATCAACATCCTTGCTGTCACATGTTAACGTGAAATCAACATATTAACTGTTTTTGACCTGAAATCAATAATTTTCTATGGTTACGCATTGCAAGAAATCAACATTTTGCTGTATTTAAGTGAAATGAACATCTTCGCGGTCGCGTGCTGACGTGACAACAAACAGAAGTTTTTTGCATACGTACATGTACTGTCTCAAAAATGATGCAAACTTCAGCAAAAACGCACACAGAACATTGTTTAACACACCTAAATTTGAAATTTGGAGTGTTTTTGACAAAGTTCACTTTTGAGCAAAATACCTAACGCCCATTTTCCACCAAGCCCTTCACATAAACAAAGCCGGGCTTTGTTATAATGTGTAGTTCCAGAAAATATCCATACCCCCCCATGGAAGGGATTGGAAATTCTGGGGGGTGGGGGGGCTCAAAGGCCCAGGAATTTCCGGAGGTGGGGAGGGGGGTTGTCTCAATGCATTTTAATTTTCCAGACCGGTCTCAATTTTCATACAGTTGTAAGTAAAGTTTTGTTGTTTGCATTTTGCTTCTCAAGTTGCGAATGCAAAAAAATAAATCTTGCTAATTTAAAGTGCAAAATGAAAATTTTTGTGCTGGTTAGGCTTGATATTCTGTTGCTGCTAGAGTCCCATCATTTTCCCAAGTAGCGGCTGGTGATCGAAGCGCATGTTGTGGAAAGTAGACGAGTTAATCTTGACTGATTGAGAATATGTCTGTCACACTCAACCAGGTACTTCTGTCACTCCTATCTGTATCGTTTCAGTTGGAAGATTTCGTCGCATTTTTAAGCTGTCGTCGCAAGCATGAAAAATAACGTTTGAACTGAAAGAGTGCATCAACATTGAATTTGCAGAAATTCGGAATCGGTATATAACAGACCTCTGAGACCTCTTATTTTGTTAACAATGATTCTTGAACGAGGAAAACTGTACAGTAACAATTATAGTTCAGGAGGCAAATATATTTTTAAGCGAGCTGCGTGCGATATAAATCCACAGAAATTAGATAAATAAACGACTTGCTGCTTCAATATTTCTGCATAAAAGCCGAAGACAAAGGAAAAAAATTTGTTTGACACCCGTTTTAAGTTGTTTGCTTGTCAAGTGAAATTGTTTACTGGATAAAAACGGAAAAAAGGCTTGTGAATTATGCCCG